CGATTTTTTCTAAATTTGCGCCTCTGGCTGGAACTATACTTGCTGGAGATATGAAAATTCAAAGGAAACGCGACGAGCGACTCTGCAAAGAAAGAAGACCAGTCCCACTTATGTACAAGCGGAACTGGCCACTTTCATGTTGCTTGCTGCCCCAGAGCCACCCCCCCCCCCTCCTGCTGCTTTTAATTACAAAACTGAAATGTTGCAGCGTTAACTCGCCAATTATTAACCGCCTACACAATAGACGAGACGTGGAGCTGAGAAACAATACATAGGCTATGCCTAAAAGCAGACGCCGAATGCGATAACAATCGCGTCCGCAAACTAGCACAGTTACGTACGGGGGGGGGGAGCGAAAGGGGTGAGAAGACCACATTATGCAACGCGCAGAGAGCGCCACCGGCAGGATGTGGCGGCACACATTCCGACGATGCATACAGAGTGCGGATCGAGGCGGTGGTTATGCAGACGACAATGCGAGAGAGAGCGCAAAACAGCATCCAACAAAACGTTCCACGTAACACTTCCGCGTGCAATCGATACGAAAGGCGGGGATGTTCCTGCTGCTACAGCAGCATGGCTGCCGACAAAGCTATCTACGGTGACATATCAGGGTGGCCGTCTCGTCGGCAAACATGTATCCTGCAAGCGGAGATCGCCTTCCGACATCTGCATACCGTATAAACTCGAATGCAACGCGTTTGTTACAGGCTTGAGATATGCACTGCAATCGTATGCAAACGAATCGCCCCAGAACGCTCACCTGGCTTTCCACTGCCTGCGTGACGTCAGATAAGTCGACGAAAGTGACGCAGCCGATACCATCGCTAACTTCACAATACCTTCACAAAAGCTAGTGCGTCAGATTCTTAGCACCGTCGAGTTTACACGTACCGCAGTGGCGCTGCCACCGTCACCGCCGAGCGCGTCTGCACGCAAATGGTGGATTATCGCGTTCGGTATTGCGTACCTGCGTTGGTGATTTTAGGGTCGAAGCTCTTTAGGCCGTGGGTCGTGCGTCCGCGATGTATGTAGTAGTAGTAGATAGCCACCCCTCATTTATACCTTGGAATGTCCACTGGATGCTTCTATATAATAAATATGATGAAAATATACCAGATAGCGGTACCTGTAGTGTTCATTAGACGGACGGACGGACAGACAAGCAGACGCACGGATGGACAGACACGCGCACGGACGACGGACACTTTGCACCACTCATCATCATTCACTACGTGCATGTGCTGCGATTTTTTGCCACTGCATGCCACTTGCTTATATACATGTCACATCGTCGTATTCTCAGTGCATCGCCTAGAACCGCAGCGCCCATATGAGCTCTAACGGAGGAAAGATGAGCACACGCCCATACAGCCCCTCAACGTTTACCATCTGCTAGGCACACGAGGGGAGCCTGCACATTGACCCGAATGGCGTTTTTTGCAGGGACTACAACGGGTTCGTGTGGCCTTAAGCTGCCACGCGTACAGACATACACACATTTCCATATTTTCTGTATACATTCGGGAAAGTATCTGAAAAGAACATTGTCACGCTAGGCGTCCTGAAGACCAATGAAGTCTCTGTAGACTACAAGCATAGGTTCTGGCTAGATCATTGCACTCGGCTACAACTTTAGAAGAAAACCTGCGACCTCCGGAAGTTCGGTACCTGCCCGCGGCAAGTTGCCCTTCGTACACCTTTGCTGCACATCTACAGTACCACTATCACGAAGGCTTTCTCGGCGTCATTATCTGCTAGATTTCTTAAACAAAGCTCATATTATGACGTAGTGTCGTCTTCCAAAGCGCATCTAGAGGACAACCGTGAAATCGGCCAGACTGCAAATCATTACGCGCATCGCTGCATATTCGTATATATATATATATATATATATATATATATATATATATATATATATATATATATCTCCCTATCTTTTTTTCTCTACCTACTCGGCTAGGATCGCGGCCACGACGGCATAAACCGTTTCGCAACATGCGCAAGCGGCCACGATGTACGTCTCGGCAGCTGACGACAGCTTCACTTCCACATGGAGTAGCAGCATGCAACACACAGTAACGAGCGCCTCATCGCGTCTCATCTTGGCCAGCGTTTGAGCGATGTATTGCGTATGAAGAACCCACGAAATTAATGGTGACTGACAGTACACGGGCGTCCACTCTCATCTCCACCGAAATGGAGACCACCGGGATCGAATTGACACGCACACCCTTACGTGCCACACAGCGGATGTCAAGCTACGAGAACAAGAAGAAAGCAGAATAAGTATGACGAGTCTTGACAATTTCGGCAACAACGCCCCACACCAACTGAAGTGCTAGTTTCTGCGCTACAGGACAAACGTATTTTGCTTTCACCTAGCCATAAACGACCCCTACAGAAGAGGCACAGGGTTCCAATGCCACACCAGGACGAACTTATCGCCGCCGCCTGAGAATCTTGCTTTTCCACAAATCCATGCGGACTGGTTTCGCTTCTTGCTTAGCGGGCGATTATGGGCCACCGTTGCGTCCTGTGTCATCAATGTCCCGTATCATTCACCGCTTCCTTGACAATTGGGATTTTTACAAACTCTGCGACTTCGCTGTTTCGGGATAAAAACTAAACCACAAAGGCGTATACACTTGGCTTGGCGTACGCAAGCACTCACCGCGTCGCGTAGAAGGCCGCCAGCGAACGTCTGTCTAGGCGTCGTCGCTAGCCGGATGTCGAAACGTGGCCGCCGCCGCCGGCAGATCGCCGCCCATGACGAAGACGCCAGCAACTCGTAGCGCTGCCGTCGTCGTGTCAAACGATATCACCGCAGGTAAACAGCACGAGGAGAAGCGAGGACGACGCAATCGGCGCAGCACAACACAACACTTTACTCGGGCGACACATGCCTCTTCTGACAAGGACGGCCTTCTCAAATAAAAAGAACCGAGACAAGTTTCAGATGTACGAGTGTTTTTCGTAGAGCCGGACTAAACCTTCCCAGATACCGTCGCACAAACACACGTGATCCGTCGAAGCACCGAGAACGAAACGGAAACTTCGGCTCGAGCATCACCGGGCGTTGCAGGGCAGGCACTCCACAGTCGAGGCGTGAGGACGTTGCAAAAATACAACGCACAACGCGAACAGCTGCTTGGTGGGAACGGACGCGCGCACGCCGACGATGAGCAGCGGCTGCACAACGTAGCGGAAAGCAAAAGCGGTCGACCCCGCAGGTGGGGGAGGGAAGAGGTCGCGTCGTCGCTCAACGCGGCCTCGGGCAGGGCTGCCCGAATCAATCAAGCCCACAAAAGCAGGTCCTCTCCTCCGGTTCCCATACGGCACGCACGCACCAGGAGCCAAACCGCCAGCCACACCACCGCCACTTTCGGGGGGGCCACGCACGCACCACCAGCGTGTAGCGGCGGGCGGAGAACACCCTATTTGCCAGAGACAAAAAGGAAGCGACGTCACTGATCTCTTCCGGAGGAGGACAGCGTTCATCGAAGAGGGGCGACCTCAAACGTCCTAGTGTCGCTGGCCGCAGACGGCTGAAGCAGCAGCACTCCTACCTACATCACGTGGCGGGCGGAGAAACCAGCGCTAGCAAGGAGGAAAGAGGGTCAAGCTGACCGAAGGCTGGAAGGACAAGCCATCCGGCCGGCCGCGAGACATCGTCGGCGAACGAAAGGAAAAGAACCGAGATTGCGTGGCCTGCGGGAAAGCCGGCTTGCGAAGCCGGCCCGGCCCGAAGATACGAGAAAGGGGGTGAAACGCGGCCGGCGCCTGGGAGACTGAGCGAGAGAGAGAGAGGGAAGAGACGAACCGGGCAACGAGGGAAACAAGAACAAAGATAGCGGGCCGTGTCCAATCAGGCCGGCAACCAACGCGGCGCACACAACTCGCTCCCTGCCTTTTCGAGGCGCACATGCATGCATAGCGAAAACGGCGCTGTGCCGGACCATTCGCAACGAAAGCAGCCAGCCGTGCTGCGACGGCGGTGCGGTCAGGCACGCGGCAATGTCGACGATGACGTCACAAGGACGACCGTCCACCCGCGAGGCCGTCGAGAAAAACAAGAAAAGGGTCGCCCATTCGAAAGTCGTCTATTCTAACAACGCAGAGTACTACTACTACTGTGGCGCCCTTGTAGCGGGCAATATCGCCGACCCGATCCGAGACTAGTGGAGAGAGAGCATTCCGGGAATGCGATGTCACTGGCATCTCGCATCGGAGCAACAGATGGCCACGTGGAAAGGGGATTACACGTTGCACGATACTGCCGCTTGACGTAACCGGCAGCTGCAGAATTGCACTCAGCGCAAAAATGCCGGAGCCAGTTTGATAAAAGCATATATTAAGCTGCACGCTATTAACATACGGCCGCAGGGCAGAAAGCCCCACACGCAGCGTCCGTATGACACGCACCAGCGATTCGCGCGACGGCAGCAACAGCATCGGATATTGCTCATGAATAAGAAACGACTGAGGAACACCTGCACCGGTCGCACAATTGGCCAAATCTCCACAAGCATACGCGAATTCGATACGGGTACATCGCGCTAGGCACTCTTAAAGAACAGGTCGCGAAACAAGGCGCAAGTGTGAACGAACCTTCAATCTGCTTGGACACACACGCTAAAGCTGTATTCACACGACGGACGCGATGGCGTACGAATCAGTCACGTGGCATGTGACGCGCCTCGGATCGCACCGCAGCCAGCATTCGCGCTACAAAGAGATTATGCTTCGCCGTCCGACGATGCGAACTGCGATTTGGGCCTCCGCCGTATCACACGAATCACCTCGGGCGGAGCGAAGCGCGTATGGCTGACCGTGTGGGGACGTAGCTCGCAATCGGGAGAGACTCGAATCGCGATATTGTCATTCGCGAGAATACAGCCTCCAAGTAGTGACGAACAGCGGCTCGTACCCAACAAGCGCCATCTTCGAGTGTCTTAATTCTAAAGCTGTTCAGTGACGAACGAAACGCGGATTCATACCGGCGGTGGCAGGTCGGCCGGTGCACACTGCGGTATGCGCGGCCTCAGCAGCCTCCGCAGGGCGAGGGCGTGACTGGGGCGCGACGGCGGTGTTGAGGGCCGCTGCAGCCTTGGCCGGCCGGCGGCGTAGCCACCGCCGGCCGCTCCCCGGTATCCCGGCGGGCTCCGTGCTGCTGCCCGGGGGGGATACCCCTCCGCCCGGCTGGCACCGCGTGAGCGACACGTGCAGCAATCACCACCCTTCTTCGTCCTCTTCCCCTTGACCATACCGTAAGCCACGCGCAATCCGGCTTTCTGCCACACCGACAAACCGGTGCTAGCACTATGCGCAGGCTCCATGTCGTGCGAATAATCACGTTAACGTGGGTAGTAATAGGGTTTTAGAAGAACGATACAACAACTAGGCGTCACTCGATGCGTATTGCTCAACCAGTCGCTCGCTGAATGCTTGCAAACCATTACAAAAAATGGTTCTGCCATAATTATCACCCACAGCATCAAAGTGCATACAAATTGTACTTATGCATACAGCATTGTACCCACTACATGTGTGTAGTGGGTACAATGCCGGGCACAATGGTGGCATAATGGGGGCTATGCAAGTCTGCGTTAAGTAGTTACCCCAAGAGTGTTTGAAGGCTGTAGTAGAAAGGCCACTCTTCCAGCATTCACGCAGGCCTGCCGGTTTTTTCGACGCAAAGCATCTTATGGTCTAGTTCGATCCGGTGTGCGGTGCGACCACCTTTACTGGGCATGCGCATCCCCTCCTCTCTTTCAGGCATCCATGTCCCGCGGAGTTTACAGCCCTCTTGCGCCTGCAGATCCCCTCTCCTATCCTGCTCGTGTGATTCTCTTGCACAGATTAAAGGCTCGCACGCTGTAGTTTTGGGAGCAATGCCTGCACTTGTTCTTGGATCATAACCAGCTTTGCACTGGGTCAACCGGGTAAGCCTCCATGTTTACACATGTTGCAATGGTCTCTTACCTCGTGGTTGCAAACCAGAAACAATGCATTTCTTCGTCGAGAGTTCTGCAGATTATTGTTATATTATTTGTGGGGTTTAACGTCCCAAAACCACCAGAGAGTTCTGCAGAGCACGACCATAGCTGGTGATGCATACTGTGAGCGTGGATAAACTAAACTGGTGACACACATTGCACGGTAGCATAGACTAAAGAAATGCAACAATGCGGCTATGAGGCTGCATGTGGGACTAAGCCTAAACCTTACTCAGACTTTCCTTGCCACCCCCCCCCCCCCCGCCACACACACACACACCTAATTCTGCCACAGCGGACATGAAATAGGTCCTCATCCTCCAAGTTGCGAGGTTCCACACCTTCACCACCAGGCGGGTGCCATTAGCACAAAAGATACACACACACTTAAGCCAATTCATTTTTCGAGGATAGTATTCCAATTGGGTGGTACGGAAAAAGGAGAAACAGCTATTTCATGATTGCACATGCCATTCTACGTCTCATTAAGCTATGCAATCATCTTGGAATAAAACCCTTGACACGAGAAAAACTAACCATTGCTCACCGACTTCGCCTTGTTTGCCTCTGCCCAATCTGCAGCAAAAGGAGGCTGCAAATACCCACAGCATCAATGGTAATCTCTCTGGGTAGTTTATGCTAGAGGGCCAATAAGTGACCTGAGTGACCGCTGTGGTCAGTGTCGCCCTAAGGCCGGAAAACTTTGCTGTCTAGATTTCTAGACAGACCTGCAACCAAATGCCTAAGCTACCCAGCAACACCCTTCACCAGCCACGTTTTTGCACCCTGTTTGAGGTTGGCTCATGACTGAAACGGAACACTAATGTGGCCCGCAGACACGAAGGTTTCTTCGACAGTACGATAGTACTGTTGGAACTATTGGCCCCTTTAAAATGTGTGTAATTCACAGAACATGAAACCTTGCTAAGCAGTCTAACAAGGCTTCATTCAGTGCGATATACCCAGAAGTTTCTACAAGTGCAGTGTTAAAAACATCCGACTTCACGGCTGCAGACAGTCAGGGTAAATTTATTTTTATATTTCAGATTTTTTTAATTGTTCGGTTCTCCAGCAAGTGGGTAATCCAATGAGTAATAGACTCAAACACTATTAGGCATTCTCTAATTTGTATGGTGCCTATACTCTGTTGCGGAAACTAGCGAAACTTCTTGCAGTCAATACGTTCACAATAAAAAGCAGTTAGATGTTCTTACCACCAATTTTTTAATTTTTGTTTTGTTATTACGGCAAGAAGTAATTGAAGGTATGTGCTCCGTTGAATGTTTTATTATGTGGCTGTATAGCTTACTTTTCGCGTGAAGTCACATAGGGGCTCTATACTCTGGGTACGTCACGATGGCAGCAATCTGGACTAAGTGTTGGTGCAAGATAGGACACCAAAGGGTCATTCCGTACCGGCGTTCTTTTGTGTTCAACCCGTTTTCTTCGGTTCGCCAGTCCCGTCAAAGGGGAGCACAAAGAACGCGAGGGTGCACAAGCACTAATTAGAAGCCATGCGAACGACCACGAAAAGCGCATAGTTATACATTTTGCTGGCCTAACTTGTTTCATATTTTCTACAGCGTAGAACTTGATGTAAAAAAAAAAGAGCATAGAGCCACGCAACTTGCATCACAAAAGGAACAAAACACTGGGCACGGCATGAATTTCTTCTGAATGACAGGTAGCATTACATTCAGTTACTCAAACGTCGAGTTTACTTAAGGCTAGAGTGATGCTGTAAAAGCATCACGTCACTAAAACGCACAGTGCTACACCATGAACTGTGCACAAATGGGACCAGTTGCAGTCTGTACTCACCACCACCTAGCGACGATTTGAGAGCTGCTTATTCATTGGGGCACAGGGGCTCCCTGGCAAGAAGTTTTTGCCTATACAAGATCATTGCCCTAGCAGTGCTAAATTCTTCACTGTAGTAATGCCACACTACGTAAAGCTTCCATCATGCTCTATACTTGCTACAAAACATACTCACAGGTCAGTTTGTGGCAGTTGCCTTTTGTGCCATATCATAGAAAAGGCCAGAAAGGTGCCTTGAAGCTCATGTTCCCTGCTTTAGGATGAGGACATCAGTGGGGTCCACTACAGTGCAGCAGCCATGTTACGATTCAGTGAGTGTGACCTCGGAGGGTGCCGTTGTCTGCCAGAATGCAGTCGCAAAAATGGCGGTGTGGAGCCACCACCCGTTCTTCAGAGCGACCCCTGCCCAAGGGGGAGGTGCCCATAAGGCACACCTAACTTTTTCCCGATCCATCGGCCTCCAGGATCCATCGGCCTCCAGAAAAAACCGCATGTGCCACAATACACCCCCCACCCACCCACCTGATGGAGCAAAAGCAAGCACTCACCATCTGTCGTCTCTCGCACAGCTTCTGTCGACGGTGCGACGGTGCCACAGAAGTGGGTGTTTTGGAAGGCACAGCCGGCGTTTCTTCAGCGTCCTTCTTGGCAGCACGCGTCACTACTGCCGCTGGGGCTACCTCTTCCACAACCACAGGCGTCCTTCCCTCTGCCGAGGCATCAGCATTGTTTTGTGTGTCCACCACTTCTTCCGCGAGCACTGCACTTTCCGCATCACCGGTGGGCAACGGTGCTTCAACGTCAACGCTGGCCGTAAGGAGCCAAGCTGGGTTCCGCCGTCTCTGTAGAAACAACCTGCGTTGGTGCCACTTCCACTCCTCGAAGCTCTGTCGGCAGCGCAGTAGATGCCACCGTTGGAGGTGGTGTTGGAGAAGCACAAGCCTCTCGCCTCTCCTCGACTGGGGCAGTGACTTCCTCTTCGTGGGGGCTGACCTCTTCAACGAGAGGCGGCGGAGGAGGGGGTTCTAGCACCGGCGGCAGGGAGACTTTGGTCTGCGGTGGACCCGACGAGGAAGCGGCGGCAGCGGCAGCCACCTGAGCGGCAAACACGCCAGCAATGTCACTGGCACCCGATGACTGCTCCTGAAAGAAGAAGACAAAGCAATGTGTATAATGAACAGCTGGAATGCAAATTTCTTATGGCGCTGACAGACCGAAGACCACAAACATTTAAGGGGGGACGCGGCACTTCTGGACCGAAAATCAGCCAAAAAATCGAGTTTTCGCGGACCTTCTTTTCGCGTTCCCGACATCATTGTGCACCTATTTACGAAATTTCATAGCCGAATACCATCAACTTTTATCGTTATTCAACTTTAAAAAACCGAAAACGGGCGTCCTGCCCTTTAAATTGAGGGCGAATAGCGCAGGTTTCGGCTCTACGATACGCGGGAACTACGCGCTCGATCGGCGCCATTTTGGTCTTGTTTGAAAGAACGCGTTTTCAGCTGGTTTTTTTTTATTCAGTAAGCAACATTGAGCGTTTCCCCGGCTCGAAAAACGGGGCCTCAAAGACGAAGAGCCGCGCTCACTGCCATTGGCTAAACGGCGCAAGCGACTGAAATGGTGCTTTCCGGTTGGCTGGAAGCTCGCGGCTTGCGTCTGCATACGCGACCCGACGCCATTTTGAAAGGGTTACCGTTGTGACGCCTCGAAATCTGCAGAGCACTCTGAAGCTTCTGATTGTATCGCCATGCCTGGAAACGCAAAAAAGTATCGGACCGTGCACGCATTTGGTCACAGGAAACGCAAAGGTCGTGGGAGAAAGTCTACGAAGTCATCAGAGCCCTTGGTTGACTCCGACGAACGATGTGTCGACGCTCCGCGGCCGTTCAGCGATGGTGCGACCGAGCGCGTTGCCTCCGACGACGATGACGGCGAAGCGAACTCCGGACGACTACGAATCGACGCCAAGGTGGTGACAAACGCCGAAGTTGAAGAAAATCATGCCCGGGAGAAAGCGACGCTCTACCGGCTTTCATCGGCCCCAGCAACTGCACGGAAAATTGACTTTCACCGCGAGTTGTAGCGAGGCAACCGCCAGGACTCGGACCACGCTGCTCCTTATCTGCTTATGCATCTAGATATCATAAACGCGATAATGGGTGCCTTGTGTTGCAAAGCCTGCCACGGACCGGCTACGATCGTCAGAGGGGATCGGGACTACGGACTTGCCGTGAAAGTGCTAGTGCAGTGTGAAAGGTGCGGCGCGATCGCGAATAAATGGACTTCGCCCCGTGCGAACGGCACGAAAACGTGCAATCCGTTTGAAGTAAATCTTCTCGCTTCGAGGGCGATGGTGGCTACCGGCAACGGCCAAACGAAAATGAACGATATTTTCGCAACAATGGGCATCTCACACCGCGGTATGCACCACAAGACGTTTCAGCGGCATTTGAAGAACACGCTGGCACCCGCTGCAACGCGAGCGGCTGAGTCCGCTATGAGCGAATGTGCGGAAAAGGTTAGAACAATTTATGATCACTTGTGCTTCGGCCACCGGGGCAATATTGCCGTTAGCTACGACGGCACGTGGAAGACGCGAGGCCATTCTTCCCACATCGGCGTGGGCACAGCTATCGAATTATTTAGTGGCTACGTGTTGGACTACGTCGTTCTTTCCAACTTTTGCCTAGGCTGCGAGGTGGGCCCAAAGCCTAGTAGTGAGGGCTATCAAGAATGGAAGGCTAACCACAAATGCCAAAAAAGTACGAACAGCAAAGCGGGGCAAATGGAAGTGGAGGCGGCTCTAATTCTATTTCAGAGGTCGCTTGAACACCATGGCCTGCGCTACACAACTATGCTGTCTGATGGAGACTCTAGGACATTTTGCGCCATACAAGACGCCAAGGTGTATGGTTACATTGACGTGCAGAAGGAAGACTGTATTAATCATGTACAGAAACGGATGGGCACCGCATTGAGAAACCTGGTGCAGAAACAAAAGTGCGATGGGAAAAGAGGCCTTGCTGGGAAAGGCAGGCTCAAAGGTGAGCTGATCACCAGGCTGAGCACATATTATGGCCGGGCTCTGAAATCGCATGAAGGTGACATGGGCGAGATGCAAAAGGCTGTGATGGCCACATACCGCCACGTCACCTCCACTGATGAATGCTCGGACCACAGTCTGTGCCCAGCTGGTGAAACTTCATGGTGTCGGCACAATGCCGCAAAAGCAAAGGGTGAGCCCGACCCCAGGCGTGCCTACAATCTACCGAAAGACGTGGCAGAGGCATTACTACCGGTTTATACCCGGCTTTCGGAAAGAGCCCTGCTTCAGAGGTGCGAACGCGGCAAAACGCAGAACTCCAACGAGAGCCTACATTCGGTAATCTGGAGTTTGGCCCCCAAGGAGCACCATGCGTCCCTGTTCGCTGTTGAAGCAGCTGTTGCAGAAGCAGTGCTGCGCTTCAACACGGGCAATTTGAATTCTGCAACGGCAATCTTAGGTGAAATGGACATGAATGCGACAAGTACTGGTGCCAGGAGAGCGAGAGAAAAAGACCACCGTCGCAGCATTGTCTCCAACAAGAAAAGAACAGCCTCATTGTAACTCCGGAAGCTAGTGAAGAGGAGGCATGAGCACAGAATGCATTCAGACTATGCTTCTGGTGCGTTTTGAGGTTGTCTTGTTGCATCTTCTGCAATAAAAATGTGTGCCCACGTTTTTTCTCGATTTCTCAAAACGACAATTTTCATGTGCTTCCCATTATGCCGGAGCAATATCTCTTGTTCTATCTGGGTTATCATTACGATTTCTTTTTTGTTTCGAAGATAAATGCAGGGGATGTGTCGTAAAGCAAGTTTTATTGTAATATTTTTTGGAGAAAATTCTCTAAATGGATCTTTTGTTTCAAGTGTAGATGGGGAAATTTTTCATGTCATATTCAACATCCCACAACTTCGCTTCGAAATAGCCCAGAACAATGATTTATACTTTATTGCACACTGTGAACATACCGAATTGGTTCTATAGGTTGCACATCAATATACAAGTTACAGTTAATTAGCTAATTAGGCCTTAATTGAAGAAGTCGCAGTTCATTATATCTTTAAAACTAATTGTCACAGCAAAAAAAGAATTAGATTTTTTAAATCAGCAGTAAAATCTACATAGGCTCTCCAAATTTGACTGAGGTACTCGCAAAAATAAAAAGAGTTTTTGGAAGGTGTAGCATCCCCCCTTAAAGGGACCGACAACTGCCTAGAACATGAAACGAGACGACTGCACGAATGGAAAAATTGTCCCACATAGAGACTCAAACCAACCCAATTTTTCTCCCGAAAATTGGTTATATTTTTATTTCTTCATTGAAAATCGTAAAAATAGCCTGTTGCACCACCTGGTGGCAGAAACTTAAATTATCCAATCCAATGTGCCCTGGCAGGTGACCATGAACTAGTGTACATGGTCTACAATTCTCTTTTAGTATTGAAATAGTGTTTGCTTCTTATTAGTAAACTATATTACTCCATAAAACTGTCTGCGTTAGTATGCATTACAGAGGTGTTTGCCTTCGCTTTACAAGATCATCCCATGCTTGTCAGAGTGTCTTGAGCAACTTTTCTGCGTGCTCATAAAACTGCACGCAGTTTTTGGGTTACCAAGATTTTGAAGGATGTGGTGTTTCTATTGACAATGTTCCAGATATGTTGTGTACTGCTAGTCAGCCCAGCCATGCATATGTGCAGCGATGTTTTCAGTGACCTGGCTCATGTGTCTCGTTGTCATTACATGACAACGGGACAAGCCATCAACGACACGCGTGCCACAACTTTGGGCACAGGCGCACGCGACGCGGTACAAATACACAGAATCTGTATAAAGTCGGCTTGTTAGTTGTAAAGCTCAGAGTAAACGTGGTTAAGCATAGTTGCAGAAACTCCTGCAAAGTAGAACGACAGCATGCACATCGCCAGAGAAACTATCACCATCGCTACCAATTCTCCGCATTGCTGGATGAAAGAACTCATCCATGTTCAGAGCTTTTCAGATTGAAAAATACTGCTTGTAAAATGACCACGTGCATTTGGGATTAACTACAGCAGGATTAACTACGGATTAACTACGGCATTTGAGATTAACACTATGAAGGGAAAGCCTTCTGTCACACCGGAAAAAACTGGGTCGAAAAAAATCGGTTGTCGGTCCCTTCATAAAAAAAAAAAAAAAAAAAAAAACACCCGCAACATGAACATCGACGACAGGAAGTGGCAAGAATTTGGAACCTTGTGTCCTTGGCTCGGGGAACATAGATATGAACAGAACTAGTATATCAGATTCCCTAAAATTGCAAAGCCGGGAGTTCTAGTGCCGTACTCATTTCGAGAAGCATTCACTGCATGGAAGCAATAGTTCCAGCAGGAAAACACCTTTTTGGTTCATTTTGGCTAGGTTCTTGCAAACCAAATTTTCGAAAATGCGGCAGACTTCTTTACCCCCAGAGTATCCTTTAGATTGTCGAGCACGTGCAGCATCTCAGCTGCTAAAACCAGCTGCGAGTCATTTCCAATTTGTCACCGCCGAAACCTGCACCCACGAATACGGCCTTGCCAACATTGTGCTCATGAGGTGTGCCCATGTCCCAAGCAATAGAGTGAACAGCTTCCAGAGGGCCTACTTGCAAGCCCCCTCTTCATGGTCAGAAGTCCATTACTCATGACGATGTCAGCGTCAAATGGTTGCGCGCACGGCTATGCCAAGTGCTGAAAATGCAAGCTTGATTTTCTGAAACAGCCACAGTAGCATAATTTGCGCACAAGCACTTTGAATCCTTCCGATTGCCTTTACATTGTTCCGACTGAGATTGAAGGCACACTTAACATTATCTCATCAAGTTGCTCAACGATCAAGTAAATTGACACTGCACGGCCTAGCTCACTCATCAAGTCCGTTCCTCCTGGTCCCTGTTCACATATCCCATTACAGTCGCCGACCGATTTTTCGAACTCCAAAAATTCGGACGTGTTCGATATTTCGGACTTCAAAAGTGCACCGTCAGGTTTTCCATAGGGCTAATGCATTTTTTCGACTGATTTTTCTGACTAAACCGCTTGTTTTGAGCCGCGCCACGAACCTGTAT